ACTCAAGACCTCATGTTCTTCAGACAGACACTCTACACTTGACCCACTCCCCAGCCACCCCATTTTTGCATTTTGGTTATTTTTCAGGTAGGGGGTCTCTTGTTTTTGCCTGGGCTTGGCGCCTCCTACTTATAGCCTCTGCATACTGGGACCATAGGCATGTCACCACGCCAGGCTTATTGATTGAGATGGTGTCTCACTAACTTTTTGCCCAGACTGCCTGGAACCACAGTTCTCCCAACTTGTAACTTCCAGATATGGAAGCCAGATATCCAAGCCAGATATGGCTGGCTTGTTTGCTCATTTGTGTTTTTAACTATTTCAAAATGAAGCATTTTAAATCACAATTTTGTGGAGGATATAGAGAACTAAGTTGACAATTATAATGCATTTTAATAATAGTTAAGGGGAATAATAGTACGGTATATAGTTTGTTTTGTGCTGCTATAACAAAATAGCTGCTGCTGGGTACTTTATGAAGATGTTCAATTGGTTCGTGATTCTAGTGGTTGGAGGGTCCAAACAGCATGCCTCTGGCATCTTGGCAGTGTCATAACATGGCAGAAAAGCAGAAAGGCTGCATGCAGAAGGGCATGTGTATGAGTGAGAAAGCCAGAGACAGGGAGGGACTAGGCTTACTCTTTATAACAATGTGCTTTTGCAGGAAACAGCACATTCCTGCCAGACCAACCCAATCCTACAAGACAGAATTAATCTATTCATGATTCAATTATCATGAGATCCCACTTACTGCCACACCAGAGATCAAGCTTTCAGCACATGAACCTTTGGGAAACAACATGTATTCAAAGCCTAGCAAGTATCTTTTTCCCATTACCAAGTCAAAAGACCATGTCTGTACTACTCTTGTGTTCTGAAACTTCCCCATGAGATCATGCTTCTGTCCGAGGGACCTGAATTATGAGTAATTGGCAGAGGGGCTGAAATTGACTCTCCACCTTGACCACAAAAATAATGTCCCCTACTTATAAGTGTGTGGAAATCCATAAGCACATAAAACAGTATTTTATAAGAACAAGGACATATAAAGTAACCACAGGCTTGTGTTCTTACAACACAGTCAAATGTAAGTACAAAGACCAATTACAAATTTAAGTATCAGTGAGTTTTCAATTACACACAACTTTGACTCATCTCTGGTTCTATTCTCCCAACAGCATGGATCAAAGTTTTGCTCTGACCTTAAAAATGGCCTTCGTATGTGAAGGTGAATGCATTGTTGCAGTGGATTTGGTATATATATTGTTATTTGTTACTACAGCTTATTTTGATTTGCTGACAGATTGTCACATATTTTAAGTTTTCTTAAGTTATAGAAGTTTTTTTTTTCCCTAGGAACTAAGCTGGAAATACATTATTTCTGAATACTGAGGGAAATCTATATTTTGCTTTTGTTGGTATTAGTAGGAAGCACTAGGAAAACCACTCAATATGAATTTATGCTCTTGTCAAATTGTGACAACTCAATTGTCTTAGAATTTTTATTAGGCTCTTTCTAAATCTCACAAATCCGTGAATATGTGAGCTTACATCACATGGGTTAGAAATACCTTGATTCCCTTTTCTTTTTGAAACTTGCCCACCCTTCTTAATGTCAGGAGAACATCTCCAGAGTTACTACTGGATTGACAGGGTTGTTTGGGTGTGTGCCTGTGTTACTGGAGTATTCACTGGGAAGAAATCCTTAAAGTTTTAAACTGAACTGAGTCTCCCTAAAATAAGGGTTGTGTCCTTCGTCTGGATCAGCACAGTAGCTAATTCAGAAAGATCTAAATCTACTTTGTGAAAATCTCCATTCAGCTTTGTGCTTGGATGCAGACTTCTTTCTTTCTTTCTTTATTTTTTTCTTATTGATGAATTGGTGGGATCTGGGTTCATTTTTTAAAAAATTGCTACTATATTCACTATATTTTGTATTTAACATGTCATGGTTTGTTGATTAAATCCTGAGACTTTTTCCTCACTTAAAAAATTGTGGTCAATTAAACTTTTAAAATTTTAATCTTGATCTTTCCGAAATGAAAACTAGTTGATTGTGTGCTATATCCTTTAAGGCAATTCTAAGAAAACATTTCACATTATGACAACAGTACAGCTGACTTCTACTCTTTCTCATCTTCTATTAGTTTGTGGTGACTGTGGAATCCTGATTTTTATATGGCTACAGTCTTTTCTGTATCCTCTCCTATCCCTATATCTGAGGAAATTATCAGTTGTTTCTTATTCTTACTTATATCTTTAAGTTTCAGAGATTTCATGAAATGCCTGAACACTCCACATATTCTATACTTTTCCTACAGCCTTAAGATTGTACCACTATTAGGTTGGATAGACACAACTGTACTATTAAATAATATTAACAAGCATTTTTTAAGAGGAATAGGAATTAATAGTAAACTAGTGACCTTGCCCCTAGATTCAAAGAAACACTCAGAGGAAACGGGAAGCATGTTTATAGCTACTAACTTTATTTTCCTCATTGGGTACATGTGGTGGCCCAGGTAAAATGGCTGATCTCCTGTGTCATTGCTCTTCCTCAGCTGAAATCTGTGTAGGTTACTGGAACTGAGAGGCTATAACTGAGCTAAGTCCTGGGGGCCAGTGTGGCTCTGTAGATAGAGAAATTATCTCCTTTTGCATATACAGGGTTAGGTCTCTGTTAGGTTTCCTTGGATCCCTGGGTCCTATCTCTCTCTCTATGCCCTTATTCCACTATGTGGTATTTCAAAAAATAGGACCAGATCTGGCAATGACCACCACCTGCCTGATTTCTAGGTATTTCCTAGGCATTTGCAGGTATTCCTCCTACCTCTGATTGAGGAGCTGCTTGCATGAATTCAGAGCTCCTTCTGCCCTTCCAGTGTTGTACTTATGTCTCACTGACCCTTGAGTGACAGACATGTTAAATGTAAGCTCTGTATTTGTGATGTCCATACTGGCTGATATTGCTCAACATCCACCACATCTCATGGGAGAGGGATGTTTGAGGGAGAGGGTGTCAGTTCAAATGAGTCTTTCCAAGCTCTGAAGGGTGGTACCTCATTGCACCATAGCAGGAGGCTCACACATTTTCTTGCTATCTTCTTAGCTTCAAAATGCTTTTTTTATTTCATAGTATATAATAATAAAAATATTAAAATAAGGAGCCAAGTCAAGGCAAATAACAAAAAAGGGGCAGGGTAAAACTGAACTGGGAAACCAAGACCCTCCCAAAAATTCCAGCAGTTAGTTAATTCAGATTTTGGGCTTACACTTTTTGCCAGTCAGAGAAAAGGGGAAGTGATGCCCTTACTGTTAGAATAGGGCAGGTGATCCCAGATTACCAGAAAGTTTTGTTTTCCATAACTTTGAGGCAGTAGGCAGCAAGTGGCTCATTATATAAAGTTTTATGTCAGAGAATCATATTAAAATATCAGCATCTGTTGCTGAATGTTAACCACTTGTGTACTTTAAAAAATTATTCCTCTTCCCATTGTCCTTCACGTAGCACTGTCCAATAGGAAAGCCATGTGTGCTACCAATATACAAAATTTTCTAGTATCCAGTAAAAAGTAAAAAGATATGGGTAAAAAAATTAGTAACATTTATATTCCATTCAATATATCAACAATTATATCAATAGATAATCAATATAAGTATTTAAAAACATTTTACGTTCATTTTTGTGAACCTTTCAAGTCCAGTGTGTTTAGTACAACTCAATTTTTACTAGTCACATTTCCAGTATCCAGTACCCAACAGCCATCTGTGGCCAAGGGCTACTGTACTCTACAGAGTCACCATAGACAATGGGGTGGATGGTGTGAGGTGGGAAGGGAAACTCTTTGTTATAATGTGCTTGGGACATTTTCAGTCACAAGATTCTTCAGCTACAATTACCATCATGAACCATGTAAAGAAAACCCTTCAGTGTTTCATATACTGGGTGGTCATTAATCCACAAATTGCCACTATTTTATGCCACCAAAACCAGGCTGATGAGAAGATCAAAAAGATTATGTCGTTTTCAAGAAACCAAGTAACTTATTCTGAAAACGTTGGGACCCACACTTTCAGTTTCCTCACCACTAGTGAATGGGCTGATTTATGTTATCTCTGGAATTCTCCAGCTGTTGCATGCTACCTGCTTCTTTAAGGCTTCTGTGATTTCGCCAGCTTTCTCCTGAGGTTCCAATAGGAACTAGTTTGTAATTTTTAAGTGAGATTCTTGACAGTCACGTATTCATTTCTTTCTTTGTCCCTTGTTGAGAACTGAGACTGCCTTCATTTAGTGCCCTGTAGTACAGCCACTGATGCTTGTTGAATGAACATGTATATGTCCTCTCCTAAGTTAAGTTCTAGAAGGCAACATCATGTTTTGGACTCCTTTGGCCTGTTTTTTAATTACTAACATAGTGTAGGTTATTCAGTTGGTGCTTAAAGAATTCTTGCTGACTGGACCCAGGACATATAAATGGCTTCATTAGTCTAAGTCCAAAACTATACCTATCAAACTGTTAAATTACATATTTGAAAGAACATTATTTTCATCTGGTGGAATAAATCCAAACATATCTACTGACATACCTTGCTGATTCCTAAGTGACTATGAAAAAATGAAATCATTAGTGAAGACAAGGCCTAAGGGACTCTATGAAAAAATGAAATAATTAGTGAAGACAAGGCCAATACTTTTATTTAATATGAATAAAGTATTGATATGCTAGCATTGGAGGTCTTAAATTCCATAGTGGAGAATCTAGTTTGTGGATATTTGAATCATTCAATTCTTTCATTCAAAGACTGAAGAGGTATGAGGATTAAGACATTGTGACAGGCACAGGGGACTAAAAAAAACTGGTTCAACCCTCAATTTGCTCATGATTTAGCTGGAAAGTTAGATCATGGAAGGGCCCCTGTAAAACATTTGTACGTTTAGAGAAAGTCACTTACGGGAAAAAGGTTCAGTAAAGCCCAATCTTTATCATGTTTCCTTTTAGGATGAGGACTTCTAAGTACTTTTAGAATGGATGTATAGATAATGGTAAGTTATATTATTTGGCATTTCTTACATTTTATTTATTTCTTTGATTGATTAATTGCAGTTAAATTACCTTAGCATGCAAGAACAGATTTTACAGATTTTGACATAAGATTAAATAGCATAAAGCATAACTAATGTGGTTTTAGTGACATGCTATGTATTAAAGCATAAAATTTAAACACACACTTCATCAGGAATTTTTGCAGTTACAGTGAATGAGAGAGATTCAAATATTAGAACTACCCCCATCTCTTGTGTTAGGAGGGGTGGGAATTTTATAACTGAGATTATTATGGAAGAGTGTCCTGACATAACTGGTTGACTTTAGTGATGTGCCTTGAAAGTTCAAATTCAAGGTGTGCACTTATTTCAGTCAACTTATTCTGAATGTTTAAATAAGAAATACTATTTCTGGGTATTTTGAATAACTCGTTGTACATTTATTCCTAATAGTGAGGATTTGGACTAATGATGGATTACTAATGAGCATGTAAATGTACCAGCTGATTACATTAATATATGATCTTTCATGACGGGGTCTGAAATGAACATTCGTAATGTGTATTTCTTTTCCCCAAATGGCACTGTGGTGTATATTGAGCAGGACTGAGACAAGGGTGTTTTTCTTAAGAGCCACTGATTTAGTCAGTTATCAGAAATCACATTATAATAAATGCTGTTCTAAGAATTTTGATTAACCTTTAAATAAATGTTACTTTGCAAAAAAAAAACCCTGCCAAATGTGTTACTGATAAATTGTGAAGTGGTAGTAATTGCAAGTATGGCTTTATAGATAATATAGTTAATTGATACCACCCTCTCAAACATATATAGCACCTCAGCTGCTATGAGCCAGTATGGTAATAATGGTGTCTGTGGCAGTTTTGATGCATTGAGGATGACATGAGTAAAATGGAAACTTAGAGTGCCTCACCAGGGTCATTCTTTCATGGACATCTGATGTCCATGGTCAAGTAAATTTTTAATGACACATAGTCACTACACACCTTTCAGCCTTCGGGAGAGGTAAGTGTACATTGATCTGTCCTAATTAGCCTTGCAGAGTACTTCAGACATCCCTGCAGGAACACTATTATTTAATAAAATGGGAGCTGTTTTTTTTTTTTTTTTACAAGCTCAGCACTTGCTCCGTGGATTGCTGTATTGTTTTCTTGTACTTTTTTTTTTTTTTTAAAACTCAGGTCTCATGTCTCATGTTCATCCTTGTCTTTGTCTGACAATAGTATTAATGCAGCTGCAAAAAAATGTAAGCAAAATTAAAGAATGGGTCTGATTATGAAGGTTCATTGCTATTATAAGAAACCCATAGGGCACGCATCCATTCTTCCCTAATGTATAGGGTGCTGACTGCATAAAATTGCTTGGAAAGACATTAAGGATATACAGGCAATTCTGTTGAGGTGTGCAGTGGGATGCTTTTATGTTTGGCAATAAAGGTGGCTCTGGAATACCTGATTTGCAAAAAAAAATAAAGGTAGCTAACACAGTTGCAATTGCACAAGATTGGAACATTTATGTAGGGACATCTACTCTTTTTGATAGTTTAGTTTTTACCTGCATTTGGGGTGTGGGACAAGGATCTCTGATATTGCTGTTCTTTGTAATAAACCAAGTATGGTATATAACTTTCTGACAGACTTTGGAAACAGAGGCATTTTTACTACAGATGCTTATTATCATTGTGAAGTTAGTTACTCAATTCCAAATGAGATATATAACAGATTATATCAAATCCTGTCCCGTTGATAAAATCTATAGCTGGAACTTTTTAGAGGTACAAATATATCTTGGTGGATGTGGCTCACTGATTACTGGATGTAGTTGATTTTAAGAAAATGGAACAAGAGTAGGTGCCTATCATACTGATGGACTGGCTGTGGATGACAATGTCTGGGGTTGCCCAAGTGTACAGGGAAATCAGGTATCTCTCTCTGCTATTTTACAACTACAGAATTGCTTCTTGGTTCCACAAATGTCCACTTTACCTGCTTGCTAATACCTAAAGTTGCACAATTAGGGATTAAAACTTTGGATTTTGCATATATTTCTAGAAATTATAACATTTTGTTCAAGTCAGATCACTAGACTGCAGTGTGAATTGGCTTACCACCCCGTTCACTTACTCATGAAACATATCTTGAGCAAATAGTGTGTTGGATGCTGAAGAAAAAAGGACAAGCTTTCTATCTGTAATGTTGTATTACTCTCCATGATCCTGGGAAGAAATGACCCAAACATTGTATGCGCATATGAATTAAAAAAAAAAGAGATGGATCGGGTGAAAAAAAAAAACCAAGTTTGAATATGTGACTTCATTTTGTTTTAGTAAGTGTCTGCATTTTCTATATTGATAAGAATATAATAACTTTCATGGTTTAGATTAGACTTCTTGTAAATGCTTATAAAATGTGGGCAGTAAAACTGAGTCTTCAAGATTCCCACTTTTTGATTCTGACATGACCAACTATCTTGAATAGAATTTTGTCAAGCACAAATTATGTATTTTCATACACTATACAATTCCCAGAGCATAAAAAGACTTTTAAAGTCATGTGACTCTTATTTATTGGGTGAACAGGATTTTATGTCTTAGGGACCTGAGTCTTTGCTTGCTACATTCTTTAAAAGATCAATGCCATACCCATAAAGCTTTAGCTGAGGTTATTTTCTGATGTTTTTCCAGTGTTACAATTTTTGAAAATTTTAATTGAATGAACAATAATTGATTTTATTGATATGAGTTTGAAATCACTTGAATCATAGATCATGGGACTTGGGAAAAGATTTTGTAAGATTCCACTATCATTTACTTGAAATTTTAGATGAAATGGCACATATTGGAATGAATCATGGAAAGGTGTTTTTGGGTAGAGTTGTATATAAGATCTGCTGTTCATTATTGTCAGTGTTATAATTTGCAAATATAAAATATGAAAAATATTGAAAGACTGAAACATTTAACTATAAAAAATATAAGAAGAGAAGAAAATCTAGAGTGTCCCATGAAGAAATTCAGTTTAAAATCCTCTGTAATTTTAAGATATTTTTGTGTGGTGACATGGTTGTCTAGTGTACCTTAAAGTTCTCTGATGCATATCTAGCTGTTTTCCCACAGAATGTCTATGTAGCCTCTCAATTTTTTCTGAATTTATTAATTACAAGTTTGAAGTCTCTTAATGTATTTCTTATAGGTCATCTAGACAGAATGGTTTTAGTAAGACTTCATTTTTAGCTCATCTAACTTTCCTCAAGTTTGAAAAACTATTTTAAAATGGAAATCATCCTTTCATTCATTATAACTATTGTTTACACTTTTTCTAAACCCAACTTGTAATGTAGTTGAGACATTTCCCCCTGGAAGACATATTTGAGTGGCTCATACAGCACCACACAGATTATAACCTAGAAGTTTCTGCTTCCTGGCGGAAATTATAGGACAATGTATACATGATAGTAATAATAAGAATGAGAAAAATGCTACCATTTCATTTTCCATTTTCAATTATCACCAAGGACTGCATTTCAAAGATGCCATGTTCCTATAATAAGTCTTTTATTGTCACTAAGAATTAACTTAAAAGTTGAGATTATGTAGTTTTATGTAAGAAATGGAAAGATGTTTATAATTAACGTCTCAAAGAATTTTAAATTTCCTATATAATCATCTTACATGATAAGTAGGAAGCATATTTCTTTAATTTAAAGGGGAAAAAGTAGACGAATGACTTGAACCATTGCAAAATATGTTTATTTGGGACATCTCCAGCTTTACAAGCTCTGGAAGGAAAAGGAAATAACCTCTGTGAAAAAACTTTTTGGAGCTTCTGCTGCTTGGAATAGAATCATTGGACTGGAAATAAATCTTCAGAAAGTATCTGCTCCATGCTTCTCCTTACATAGAGAAGGAGACTTGGGCTTTGTGAAGTTAACGGACCTGCCCAGAGCCATGTCCGTGATTAATGAGCCTGCAGAAGAGGTGGGGTTAGTGCTGCTGTCTTCCGAGTCTCAGAGTTCTGAATGTGCTTTGCACAATGTCGTGCTGCTCTCTCTGACTCTTCAATTTTTTTTTATTGTTGTGCTGGGTGGGGGTACATTGTGGTATTTACAAAAGTTCTTTTTTTTTTTTAGCAACCAGTGAAGTTTATTGCTAAAGCAAAGGGAAGGAAAGGACAGTACACACAGAGACATGTGTATGAGCATATGGAAAGAGGTGTACTAAGCACTCTAACAGAGTACTTATAATAAGTAAAAAAGGGGTTTAGTTTAAACATTACTTTAGCTAAGTGCTCATTTGTCCTACTCACCTGGTACATCCCAATAATTTATAAAAGTTCTTACAAAACATCAACTATATCATTCTTGAATTCAGAAATTTAATCTGATTTGAGAAGGAAATTCTTTTACATGGATTTGACAAAAAAGTAACACACTAGTTTTGCTGTTTTAGAGGGTAGAAAAATATTAACTTCAAAAAATTAAGGAGTTAAGTCCTGAACATACTAAATAAAAATACATGTGTAATTTAAACAAACTAACTTGTATCAGAACTTTTCCTCTTGAAGTTCACCCAAACCCAAGCTCCTCTTATTAAGAAAGCAGGTTGAGGCTGCTCCATCAGGCTGTGCATGGTGTTTTTCTTCTCGGAGAGCTCAGGAGATTGGCACTGCTCTGCAGTAGTGTCACAGCCCGCAGTCATTTAATGCCTCTTCTTGTGAGGCCAGGATTCCACGCCCAAGTGCATTTAGTAGGTCAGTACAGTAATTTTAAATGTCTTTCTTTCAATCTTTTGCCATCTTCAATTATACCTTTCCACCCTACTATTTGTGTAATTTTCTTCTGTCTGAAGTCTCTTTACTGTTGTTCTCTATTGCACAGCATGACAAATTACCCATCAAGCCATATCTTTTCAGCCCAGAAATGTGCAATAACACGGAGTCATGGCATTATCGCATGTTGTGCACTTTATTTCCTCACAGTTC